AGAATATATAATGAATAATAAAAATAATTTATTCAATTTTTTTTTTTTTTTTTTTTTAGGTTTATCAACTTAAAAAAGATTATTATATTATGTATTATAAAAATATATATTATTTATTTTTAACCCTTAAAACTATAATCAACATTATAGTGAAATTATGATTCCCATTCTTCAGCATCAACGAATTGATCACCACCATCATCCGAAATATCTCCATCATTCGTTTCGTCCCTTGATTCTTCCTCAACAGCTGATATAACGAGAACAGGTACTGTTACTTCGTTAGATATTATTCCTAAACTCGTTGGTGGTCTACTTTCAGGTTTTAAATCCAGCTGAATTTGAGGAACTTCAATTTGAATCTTTGGAATGCTTCCAATATTCAATTTTTCATTCTCAGTTTTGCCTTCTTTCTTATTTTCCAATAATGTTGTTACAATTTCATTCTGTTCTGTTAGATGTATTCCCTTCCCTTCCGAATGTTCCCCATTGTATTCTGATCCTAAATCAAGCATATTAGCTTCATATTCTTCATTTTCATTTCTATTTGCTAAAGATGTTTGTTCTTTAACATCTTCAAGTATAATTATACTACTGGCATCATCTCTAAAACTAATATCATCTCGATCTTCATCGTTACGATTCCCATTTCTTGGAAATATCTCAAGTTCATACTCTGAAACATTTCCTTGAAAATCATACTCTTCTTCATTATCTCCATTAATTGAAAGTGTTGATTTTGAAGATAAAGATGATGTAGAACTACAAGGTAATGATCTCATATAAACCGTTCGTGAATTATTTTCTGCATCTCTTTCAGCAGGATCGAGTAATTTATTACCACTACTAATAGGTTCCTTGACAAATAATTGTCCAAATGTCTCAGGAACTGCCAAAGTTTTTGATGGAAAATCTGATGTAATTAGAAATGATGAATTCTCATCGGTACTATTATCTCCAGGAGTAAAATAACTTCTTCGATTTTGCCAATATGTTTTATCTTCCATTACTGTAGAACATAAATCTTTTTCAAGAATTTCATTATAACATACAAGCCTACTTAATTCTAAACAAGTATGTTTTAGTCGAGATGCTACAGAAGTTGCTACTTGTAATATACGATCTCTTGTTGATGCTTTATATGGTATCATTAGGAATAGGTTATTTCTGAATCGAATATCCGTTTGAAGTTGTGATGTTAACGCAGAAATTTTCCCCTGAAGTTCATCAATTTTTGCCTATCGGATATTATAATATGTTATTAAAAAAATAAATCATTTACAGTGATCGAATTACGAAAATCACTTTTTTCTTTAAAAAAAAAAAAAAAAAAAACTTACCCGAACTAAATTAGCTCGTCCTTGAGATTCTTTGGCAGCAGCATCATGACTATGCCCAAACATTCCAACACCAAATCTCAGTCCACTACTATTGGCACCTCGTCTTTGTTGTCCAACATATGGATTTCGAATGTTTCTCATTTTTAATCCAGCCGTTTTAAATGTAGCCGCATAATTAATCTTTGATATCCAATCATTCATTTCTGCTTCACTTTCAGCTTGAAATAAATATTGATGACCTTTTGGACATACCAAACGAAAGACATTTTTATATTTCTCATAATTTTTATCATATACTGCCACAGAATCCGCAGTCATAAGTATTACATCTGGTTTTAAAACAGGTAATATTGCAGATTCCTGAAAGTAAATTAATGAATTAACCATAATCATAATATATAAATTCGTATATATTATATAATAAAAAATATTTAGATAAAACAAACCTCTGAATTTTTTAATTTTTTCATCTGTGCAGTAAACCCTGTTTCATCTTTAAAGAACATTAGCTGGCTACCACTTAATATTACACCATATATTCTCCAACTTCTTAAACCAGTCTTCTTTTTACCATCTATTAAATCAACCTTTCTTCCAAGTTTGCCACTTTTAGTTATCTTTAAAAGAAAAGTTCCATCTTCATTTGTTGATTTAAAAGAACTAGATGTACTTTTAAAGGAATGACTCTTGCGTCTATTTTGAACACCCGTGATCCGAATAGTGTGAGGTGCAGAGAATGCGCGGTGAAGATCAGCAATGTCTAAAGCTGGAAGAGTTCCCATATAGGAATATGGATTTTCAGTAGGAACAATATCTTTAATTTTAGGTTTAAATTCAGTTGGCAATTTCTAAAAATTGAAGAGAATTTATAAATATTAATAATTATTATAAATTATTATTATAATTATTATAACGATCCAATTCATTAAATTAAAAAAAAACTTACAGTTTGTATAACCCAATAAGGATCATTCCTAGGACGCGTAGACTTTCTCCGTTCCTTAGAGGAGAACAATTTCATTTGACGATGTTGTGTTGGAGATTCAAGCATTGTTTGACCATTAACATCAGTATCATCTTGAGCATATATAAATTGAGCAAAAGTGATATTATCATAAAGAATCTATAAACAATAATTTAATTAATTATAAGTAGGTTAAGCGAAATTATTTAAATTTAAATGAATAAGAATTACCTCCAATATTTCAGGGTTAACACCATCGATACGTGTATTCTTGACAAATTCTTCCTTTGTCATCTTTCTCCTCACGCTTTTATTATAAGCATCTGTATGAAGCATTAATAAAGAGAAAGCAAGAATATAAGGTGTATCTAAAAAAAAAATTAAATATGTTAACGAAATAACACATTTATATTTTTATCAACAGATAATTTACCTGCAGAAGGAAATAAATCAGGATTTGATTCATGATATCTTTTCGCAAATGCTTCTATAACACGATCAATTTGTTGAGTTTCTTTTGGTAAATTGCAATCCATTAAAAGTTTCCTTATAATAAGAATTTAGTAATATATTTAGTTATTTAAGTAACTAAATATTTATAAAAGTTATTTATGTTGTAAAGGGGAATGGAATCATAATAGGTTCGGAATCCACTTCGATTAGAACGGAATAATTATACTAAAAATCCCAACCCTAACCTTAAAAATTCCAAATCAACTTAAATTCTGTTCCCACTTACGACATTTATAACTATTTATCTTCATTATCTTCATAAAATTTATATACCTTAAGGCAAGATCAATAGGGACTTTTTCAAATTCAAAAGATTCCATATAAGCTTTAAGAGCAGATCGATGAAAGGCATCGGCTCTATAAATAAAGAAAAGTAATATTGTTACCATTAAACCCATATTTACGAACAAAGTTACACGTTTAAATACGCATAAATTCTTTGACAGTTCAATTTATAATCTATACAATAAAAAACACACTTTTGAGCTAATATAGTAACCAACTTTGATCTCGAAATACTATACATCATTCTTTCAAGATATTGTTTCGGAGTTTCACTATCTGAATTAGCTTCAAATCCATTCAAATTCGTCATTGACTTTGTCGAAGAAATTTTATTTAAATTCTTAGTCACAGGCATAAAAGGAATGTTTAAAGTAGGCGCAGATCCCATGCGTTTAAGTTGACGTTTTCGAGGATGTTTTGTAAAGGTAGGATCTTCACTAACAATCGCTGTCACAGAATTTCCTATAGCAGAACTCTTAGGCCTTGAGAAAGAGTTCATACTAACTATAGTTGAACTTCTATTCCGACGAAATTTATTTTCCAAGGGTGAAGATATGGGAGGATTTATAGAAGAAGAAGGAAGATTCGATAAAGTATGAGGATCAGATATTAAAGGTTCATCATGGTTTGATTGATTAATTTTTACAGGCAAAGAAGATTTAGTAGGAACTATATTAATAATTGGAGGACCAAGGATATTACTATCATTATTAATCGACTTCTTTACATCATTTACAGACGACGATTTTGCAGGAACAATATTAATTAGAGGGCGAGAATCATAAATATTATTATGGTATATATATGATGAATCATAATTTCCCTTCATTGGATCCTTGAAAGGAGACGTTGTTGTAATTGGCTGTAAGGTTGATGAATTATAAGAATTTGGGATATTATGCATGTCTTCAGTAGTAGAAACGTTAGAAGAATTTTTACATTTGTCAGATTCAAGTGGATTAACATTGGGATTTCCGATATCGGAACTACTATCAGGGTTCTTAGAAGAAACTGTAGTAGTCGTAACTGTAGTAACGGTAGTTGTAGTGGTAGTTTTTGTAATTGTTGCAGCTTCAGTTGGTGTTGAAGGACTTAACGGCTTTGTTTCTTCAACTATCGGCTCTTGTTTAGGAACATTTAAAGAAGTAGGAATTTTGGTGGTAGTAGTGGTTATTGTTTTCGTGGAAGGACAGTCATTCCGTGGTTGAGGAGTTACAGCTGATTTTGCGGAAGTTGACTTTCGCCTATTTGATAAAAACATATTCGCAAATAATTATATGTATAAATCACCAAAATGAATGAATAACATGTGAATATTCGGAGAAAAAGAAAAGGAAAGTGGACTTGTGTATATAAAACGGATTGCCTCTACAGATTTTTTTTTTTTTATAAATAAATCTACGAAATCTGTAAAGGGATCGAAATGGAAAAATCCGACAAAGAAAAAAAAAAAAGAATGAAAGAATCCGCAAAAGGAGATCTTGTATAAACAAAGCTACATCGCGAAAAATGTAGTTCATGAAACTTTTTGATTATATACCTATTGATTTGGTTACACGCATCTATATAAATTACTGGTTATTCCGCCATGCATTGACATTGAAGTGTAAAATGACTGGATACCTAATATTTGTATACAATGTCAAAGTTTGTTATTAACGTAAATACACTTTTTTTGCATAAAAATTCTTTATATGGTACAAAGACATCCACATTTACACTCGACAATCACAAAGTCGAGAAGCATCCCTGACTTCGGTCCCGTGAGTGTCGATTGTAAGACTTTTACGTACGTACGTACCATAACTCTTTTATTACTACTATGTTTACATAACACACGCACAGACGGAATAAAGCATGAACATCAAAACAATTTACGCATTTTTACGTAACTGAATGCAGTACCCAAAAATTTCTCTTTTCTTTGGTTTACTATATTGACAACATTTTACGTATAAATTTTTATCATAACGATGAATCGCATAAACTTTATTAGATATATGCATATTCAACTTTTTTGGATCTCAAATAAAGTACGTACATATCACTTTTAAACTTTCCGATTATGTAGCATTATAACGTGAGATGAAGCATTCATTACATATAAGTATTTTAAGTGTATGCAAAGATTTTGTGCGTAGGAAATTTAAATAGTTCTAGATTTACTCTGACTCTCAAGGCAATGTACTGCATTTTACCGTTATCGCTATTTTCGAAATAAACCTTTTCACAGTAAATTTGGCTGGCCATCCTTTGGCTTAGTGGTTTAATAAAGTTAAGCCAAGCGGTTCAACACCTGCCAATAAAAACTTTAAAAAAAAAAGATTTCAAAAATTACAAGATTCAGAAAGGACAAATCTTTTTTTTTTTTTTTTTTTTTTAATATTAAAGGTGACCACTTAGGCCATTGGCATGAGCTTTATTTCGGATAGTTAC